AAAAAAAAAAAAATAAACAAATCGTCATATTTTAGAATTTGGGAAGTTTGAAGAAAAAAAAATAAAGCTATAGTAAAAACTCAACATTTGATGATTCATTTCTTCCTTACGTCCCGTTTAGATTTTATCACACCTTACAAAACCCACTGAAACTAGAAACAAAAAACTTACATCATGCCCGCAAAACTTTCGACCGTCTGCTACGTTCATGAGTGTACTGAACGTCTTACTCAGGAGTATACCGTAAAGGAGGTTATGGTGGTAGTAAGATTAGACGATGTTGACCCGACGAAGGTGGTCTATCTTAAAGTAAAAATCTTCATACCCTCTGACCAGAACATACCGACACAGATTGAGGATTTTGAGAAAGGTGACGTGGTGTTCCTGAGAGGCAAATTCGTGGCCTGTGCCGGATGGTACAGCGTAAGTATCCGTATGTTTTTTTAGTAACTCGTAGTTTTCCCATCCCTTCACTGATTTTATATCTTGACTACCCTAAGATAAACGCCACTTCCCTGAAGGTTATGGATAACCTGGACTTTGATACAATGCCCAGCATTGGTCTGGACATCATGATCATTGGGATTACGACGAAAACGGTTCAGAATGTCGACGGTAAATCTGTCTTAGACTTTTACGTGGAGGAGAACCTCAGTGATTGTGAACCCCGTGATTTTTGGGTTGAAGTCAGTCATGACCCTAATGTAAGGTACCTTTCGAACAAGACCAACTCGATCAATCAATCGATGCGTTCTACTACGGCGATAATTATGGGCACGATCGTTTATCAAGCGCCCGTTATCAATGAGGTCACTCAAGAAGAATCATCCCCCGGTAAACATGTCATTAACCTTGAAGACATCTCGTTGATCTCCACGAATCGCAACAGCGCCAATGCCGCGCAATCGTTGAACCTCCCATGGTTGAACGCCCAAGCTAATGGAAGACACGGTAGTAGATCGAACCGAAGTCCCAGGGGTGCAACTCCCAGAACCTCACGTAGAGGACGAACTACTCTGTCCCAGATGAATCAACCGGCCAGAAATCAGAATATTTCGGCCGCCTTGGAGGCGAACCCAATACTGACCATGGCTGATTCTACAAGTTCCACCAGTCATAACCCCATTTCTGAAGAGCAAGCCGATTAATCATATCTAAACCTGACAAAACCTATCATCTTCAGTTCTATTTTCTTTTACTTTATTTTCTCCGTGTAAAAAAAAAAAAAATCAATAAAATTACATGTTTCATACCATGATTTTGATAAGATATCCTCTCGTTATAATGTATTTACGGGATCAACTCTCTTATTCTTGTAATTTTTTCTACGTTAGTCTCATCTTCACCTCGATGATCCCATAGATCGTTTTCCTTTACCTCTCACATCGTGACTTTAGTTCACAACTTATTAAATGACAAATGATAAATTATAATGTACCTCCGAAAAAATAAAAACTATATCATTTAAAATTGTAAAATATGAAAAAAAAGAGTATGTCATCATAATAAATTAAAAAGCACAAGAAAAAATCGAAAAATTGAATCTCCTTAATTAACATGACCAGTTACTCTCTTTCATTTATCTTTCAAACCCGTTTTATTTGTTTGTATTTTTTTCATTTTTTGATCTTTTTTTTTTATGATAAATTTTTCGTTAATATTATAAAATAAATTATGTTATAAATATGCGCTCGATTCTTTGAAAAAAAAAGAGTGTAAAAATAAAAATTTTCGATACCGATATTAATAAGAGACGAGAAAAAGACTGAATCATGACCCATCTGATCCACACCGTATACATTTTCAACAATGAATACGAGACTTTGCTAGATTTGTCATTGGCTGATGACGATCTTACCCTTATATCTCATGCAGATGAGACTGATAATCTTCATAGCCACCTATCTCAATCTTCATATTGGAGACCTTCGTCAAATTTGAAGAGGTTATACGACAGATTCCAAAACACCACTCTATCTTAATGGCCACGAATACCTTATGTCTATTGCAGGAGAGTTCTTTACCCCAAGAAGGCGTGCTGGACATTTTACGACTCGTCAGTTACTTACCCTTTACAACAAAATGTACCTGGCATTTCGTTGTCTTTCAACCCAAATGTTAACTGCATTCCCAATTTAAGAGTCCCTACCTGTGAATCGTGCAAGAAACCTTCTACTAGGTTCCTGTTCTCCCACCTCTCCCCTTTGCCAGAAGAGATACTTTCTGTCCTTCCGCACAAAAGAAGGTACCTCTCCCCTGTTTTCCTTTACTGTTCGCTGGGAAGGACCCCTAATAGCAACCCTTATTCGCAATACAAAACTTTAACCGGTGCTATGAACTACTCATGTAACGTCAGGGCTCACGCCCTATACTCTGGATCCCTGGGAGCTTTTTTGGACTCGAACGAAGGACAACCCACCGGTAATGGAGCCTCATATGATGAAACTTTACGTCGAGCAGCTGCTTGGTTGGCAGTGAATAATCCTTACCTTCGTCCGTTCACGAACATCTTGACATCAACTCGTCATACTCATGTTTTAACCGATCCTTTCCCATCGCAAGACACCTCCAAATGGACGTTACCGCACCTTCTGTCAACAGTCGCGATATCGTCGTACCTAACTATGATTTTCCCGCTGAAGTTCATGACGAAGATTTTCACTACAGTAGACTGATGGCAGGTTTCATTTAAGAAAGCGATACTTTACGGTTACCCATCTCTAACCATGATCTGAACCTGGAACCTTTGCTCTTCCTGGACCTGTTCACCGATGGGAAAGGTCACTTCACCGATCTGCCGAACCTAACAAATCCTGCTAATGAATCTTGTACTGAAACTTACGGTTAATACATTAAGTCACGTTTGATGAACATTGACACCTGTTGGAGGTTATACCACCATTGGCCCTCATAGTCGTACCTCCAACTAGAAAAGCTACGCCACCACCAAAATATTCAACGTTTGCTGCTCCAGTCTCACTTGAATTTCAACCTTAACAATAACGTGTCTCTCCCAACCGCCAGAGATCTACTTTCCCCTAGCATGTACTCCTCCCAAAACATCATAGATGAGAGTAAGACGATTTCTATTCCGACCTTTATACGGACGGGAGACACTTATTTTCATCAGAAGCAGCTTCACCTCAATGCGATGTTGAACAAGCTCGGGTTACCCACCTTATTCATAACCTTAAGTATGGCGGAAAACCGTTAGTTACACCTTCAGGATATACTTTCCAATAGTGATAATGGTGATACGTTACCCACGAATAGGCCCTTTCACTGCGCGAATTACTTTATCTATCGGTTCCAATCTTTGAGGAAAGAACTTTATAAGAAACCTGATCTCACAGGTTTTGGCGACATTACTAATTTCTTTGATCAGGTTGAGTTTCAGAACAGAGGTGCTGCCCACACCCATAGTTGTTACTGGACCGCGAACTCCATCGAGAACATGATCGAGAACGATGTCATCCATTCAACCATCCCCGATCCTCTTTACAAACTTGAACTCTACGCTGCTGTGTTGTCAAACCAGATACATACATGCAATTCCAGATGTCAAGGTCCGGCTCCTCCAGGTCAATTGTGTAAGAAAGGATTCCCCTGTCCTTATAGCCAGACGACTCATTATGTAAAGAATGAATTCCGTTACGTATACAGATATTTGACCGAGGCAGATTCCTGGGTTGTCCCGTACCATCCTGCGATCCTTTTGCTTTGGGATGCGCATATAAACGTTCAATACATAACAGACAAAGGATTCGCTCGATACATGACGAAGTACATCACGAAAAGAGAACCTTCCCATATTTTTAACATCTACGAGAATGATCTCTTGAGGGAACATGTTATTGCGCGGCAACTTAGCTCAATAGAGCTTATGTTTTTGCTTCTGGGTCATGAAATCTGTAATTCCTCTGCCACTGTGAAGTTCCTCACTACCGATCCTCCTGCCACAAGAACCCGTACTATACTTCCTGTTTACATGATAGATGATGATGACGATAACCCTTACTATGATGATACCATCATGAAGTACATGTCCCAGCCTCATCTTTCTCAATTTGATGATCTCACCTATTTTCAATACTTTGAGAGATACTCGATCATACCTTCCCCTCCTGCAACATCTCGTCCTGTATATCGTGATGAATTGAATAATTATGTTGTCAAGCGAACGAAAGAGTTAATCACCAGGCATCGATTTCTTAAGATAGAAGATGGAGAGTTATACTTCTACCAGCAATTACTATTGAACGTCCCAGCGAGAAGCGAATCTGAACTCAAATCATCTCCTGATACGACTTACCGTAAAACATTTTTACAACTTTTCCCTAACTTTTTAACAAACTTGCAGAATCAAACTATGAACACGCATCATTCACGTTTGTCACGTCTGGACAATTGCTTCGCTGAAATGTTAAGCAGGTTGCTGGAATCATTAAGTATCCATCTTACCACTGACCTCACACAGATTGTACACGCTCAATTGACCGACTTGAAGCTCCTTCCTCATATTTATCCGAAAACTGCTATGCTTGAGCTTCCTCAGGATCAATATCGAGTTCTCTCTGCTATCAGCATGTACCTGGGTAGAAATGATGGTGTCAGGTGGCCTTTCTTTTTTATAACCGGTTCAGCTGGAACTGGGAAATCATACGTTATAAACATGATAACCAGGATGCTTACTCAATCGTCCCATTCTTTTATCCTCTTGGCTCCTACCGGTGTGGCAGCCCAGAATGTAGGTGGGTTCACCATACATTCGGCCCTCCACATAATCTCTGCACGCGGAAGTTTCTTCACCCGTGCCTACGTGGACAATGAATTAAGAGTATCCTTGAAACGGATAACCACCATCATTATCGAGAAAATATCTATGGTCTCCGCTGACCTGCTGGATTTTATCTCTAATATGTTCACGAATTTACATAATAACGATCTTGCTTTTGGTGGCATAAATGTTATTGTTGTGGGCGATCTGGCACAACTCCCTTCCATCAATAATCACCTCGTATTTCGTGCTGCAGTCTGGCCTTTTTTTTACCCGTTATTTTTGTCAACTCTCCACCGTCAGCATAATGATTCAGAATTGTATTCTATGTTGGAGGAGATTCGGATGGACAACATGTCACCTGAAACTTGGGCTAAACTGCAACAACGTAACTCGGAATTTCTGGTTCACGCCTCGGCAGGTCCTCTACTCAACACCACCCACATTGTAGGCTTTAGGGAGAACGCTCAGCATATCAATAGAATGATATGCAATCTTCTACCTGTTCCTGACAACAAATTCTTGATCTCTCAGGCTGTAGATGTTGTAAACTCTGTCCAATGGGACCCTTCCTCTTCAGAATTTATGTTCAAACCCAAGACGAACCTCCCCCTTTCTGTTCGTCTTCAGCCAGGTGCTCGCGTCATGTATCTAAACAATTCTCTTATTTCCCACGGCATTTGCAATGGTACAATAGGCGTGGTCACTGATGTCAACCCTTTAGAAGACTACGCTAGGATCGCCTTTTCTATCAGGGGCTCCTTGGTTGACATTGATATTTATAAGCATACCCACTATTTTAACATCAATGGAAGTAATTGCAGTCGCTCCCAATTCCCTCTCCAGAATTCTTTCACCCTGACCGTGCATAAAACCCAAGGCTTGACCTTACCCAGGGTTTGTCTAGTACTCGATGGAAACATCTTCTCTCCTGGTCAGGCATATGTCGCTCTCAGCAGGTGCTCTTCCTGGAACAATATTGAGATATCTCACCTCAATAGATCGGCTTTTATGGTTGATCGTGATGTCATCTTGGAGTATCAGAGGTTGACTCATATCGCTAATACAAGTCCTCATCTCTTTTCATGATTCTTTATTCTTGTGTCTATCATCCTTACCTTTGGACCTATATGAATAAGATGTTACCCCAATTTTAGAAATAATCGGTTGTTTTCTTTTAACTCATTACTTTTCATCATTGATTTATTCATTAATAAAAAAAAATTTACTCTGTTTCTTATATGCTAACATTTAATTTATTTGATTTATTTAATAACCTTACATTTGCTGATCGTGTTTGCAAATGTTACATGTTTATCTTGTGATCTGCGTTATACACCTATCTATAACTAAGTAATCTAAGTAAACTAA